GTAAATTTTCTTGAAGAAATAAACACTCTAGCATTTTTTTCCTGAGAGCTGCAAACTGACTTAAGAAATTTTGATTAAAGAAACAGCCCTTAATAAAAGATTTTATTTTTTACTGAAATAACTGAAAAAATAGAATAAAACTATAGTTTTTATTCTCTTCAAATAACTAGAAAATGTTGTTGGTAGATATTTTCCAAATTTGGTAAATTTTTTTCAAGTAGAAGGTAAGTATTTTTTTTCGTCAGTGGCAACCCTGGATGTGTGTAGAAATTAGAGAATTGTAGAGAGAGAGAGAGAGAGAGAAAGAGGGAGAGCAGAATACAACACGAAACTTTTATGCTCACACGCGAAATTTAGCTACAAAATTGCAACAATTTGTTATACTGTATATTTCGGATATAAGCACAGCTGCTTCTAAACGGAGAAATGTTTTTTTTTTTTTTTTTTTTTTTATAGAAAGCCAGCTTATGCATTAAGAAATAGTAGTTTAGGTAGATTTTTTTTTCTTGAGTTCGTGCTTATATTTTTATAAGTATATACGGTGGTGGGCCCTCAAATATTTACCAATTTAAAATGCTATAGTTTTGTTCATTTCTTTTTTTATTTACAACCATCAGATCATCATGTAAAATTTTAAGAAAAGTGCATTACTGTTAGATTTAGTCACATTCAGCGCGGACAACTGCATCGAGTCTATCTGAAAATGATTCACAGGCTGCACAAATGTAGTCTGGTTATTTTTCCCCAGTGGCAGCGAAGAGCAATCTTCACGGCGTTGGCCTCGAGAATGGGACATACGGAAAAATCCATTGCTTTTAATTCTTAAGAATATGGTGGCCATTGTTGTGAATAAATGAAGTTGGGAAGGTTTTTTCTAAAAAACGTTGAATTTCGCGAACTTTGCAACATGCGACATTCGTGCAACATATGAAGCATTACCGGGCAGACTCGATGCTATTTTCCGCGCCAAATATGGCTACATCGAACTGTAATACACTTTTCCTGTGATGAGGAACGGATATTTAAAAAAAATGTGATTGAAAAAATTTACCATTGTTTTAGCTCCAGTATTACCAAGACGGGAATTAATTTATCTGGGGTGCTTGTAAGCAAGAAATACTGTACGAGTAAGTAGTTATGGACGGCGCAACGAGTGCGGAATTGGGTGGGCACCAAAATATGTAAACATTACTTGCCGAGTGAAAGGATAGTAATGAAAGCATGCGAGAGAAACAAATCGTGCCTGAAATTGAGAGCACCATTATGTTTGAGTGTGTGTTGCAGAGTGTAAATTAAATGTATGGCTTTTGCCTTCGTGCCATGCACGGACACAGCTGTTCTTTGTTGTGTAGCTCCTGTGGCTTATTTTTCGATGCCCTGCATGCATTGAAAGAAAATACCACACTTATGAAAGGGTCAGTTTAGAATGCCAGTCATAGAATTATGTTCAGAGATTACTAATTTCGTCCACATATCTAGCATACAAATAGGTATCTAAGGCGCTAGGTGGTTAAAATTAGATTACGCCACCAATTGAAGATCTCTGGGGTAGACGATTTCTTAGCAAGCATTGATGAAATACGAGAGGAGCTATTTAAACCTTAGCCTTGCGAAAGTAGGGCAGCTGAGTTGGAAATGCTAAATAGATGCAATCAATAGGCTCGACAATAATTATCTGTCATCCAGAATAAGTTCCCATAGAACAGTGTCCGGTAAGAATTCCTGCCAGAACGGACCGTTAGTTCGCGTAAAGCCAGCTGAAGATGCTACTTTGGTCGCCAGCGGTCGACAACCGGCCAGGTGGGCATTTGCAATCTGCCATGTTGCGATATTCGGATAGAGCTCTCTGAGCTAACTTAAAGCTTATCTCTCAAGGAGCAGTCCGTATGTTGCTGCAGGTACTCCTATGATGTAAAGTTGCCTTCAAGGGTGTCTGCCTAGCAGTGAAATTGCCTACAGTGTCACGGTGCCTATAATTCCACTCACCATATGTTATTAAGAAGAAATCTGAGGTGATCCAGAGAGAAATTAGTAGGCAGTCGGATGCCCCCATTATAGCGCCATCTTTGCTTGATATACGCTGCTGAAATCTAGAAGCCTTAGCTCAAGATTAACGGAGAGTTTTTGACAGAACGCTCCTCTTTCAATTCCAGGGTACGGAGCATGAACCAACTAACAAGATCACCCAGCACGGCAACCGTGTATTTGTAATTGCATTTGAGAAAAAAAAAATAATAGTTGATGACGTCATTTTTTAATCGGTTCTTTCACTCACACACAGGTTTCATTCCGTTTTATCCAAATGGTGGCGAAAAATTGACGTCACTGCAAAAAAATTACTTTTTTCTCGCACGCCGTCCTGGGTGATCTTTAATCGTTCGTTCATGCGCTGAGCTTGCGCAACTTGGCGCGCATCAGGCGAGGCTGCTGGCAAACGAGTACTCGTTATTAGCTCTGCCCTCGTGCGCGCGTCGTTGCGAGCGAGGCACTCATTTGCAGCAGCAGACGAGCGAGGCGAGTAGATGAGCGAGGATATGATAGGCAAACGGATTGTTTGGTCAGAAAAAAATTGATGGGATACAAATTGTATCAACTAAAAATTTCGAGTTAAGGATTGTATGTACACATGCACATATCGTCGTTTAAACTAGCCGTTTTACAGTGACGAGTTAACTCTCATTCAATCTACATAAATAAATATATGTGTACATACATAATGGTGTGCTCGGTTTGAGCCAAGCTGGCAGCCCTGCTCACCTCACGAGTACGAGCTGCGAGCAGTGAGTAGACGTTTGCTCGCTCGATCGCTCGAACTCCGAGTTTTTGCATACCCTGTTAAATTCTAACATCCATCTTTGCGCTATCCGTGAAGAAATATGTTAAGTGGACCTCTGTCGCTCTTCCATGCACCCTTTAGAAGAATGTATGCATAGAAGGATCCAATAGGGGCTAGCTTCGATCCTTGCTGATCAGTTTCTTCCGGTGCATATAAAGTCGAAGTTTGCGACTGCTCATGCGCCAGGCGGAAGGAGAACCATTGAAGACTTTTCGACTGAATTCCTCCAGATAATTCCCTAAATTTCATACAGCCAGTCAATTACCTTTGGACAGACGGCCCATATGACGTTTTTACAGGAACGCCATAGATTGAGAAAAGTGAGGCATTCGGCACTTTATACCACTTGGGGACCTCTGTATTTTCGGAATGAATAGCAAGTCCGCTTCCAGCAGACCGATTTATAGCTTAGTTTAAGTATCCCTGGATAGGATTATACAGAGTGTCCAGAATTTTGGCTATGACAACGAGCACCACGTCTACAACATAAGCAATGATCGATGAGTCTCTTCCTTTTAGCTTCTCCAGCGTTTGGATGGCGAATACGATGCAGAGAAAGGGTGAAAGAACGCCCACTTGCAGAGTACGTCTACTCACCCAATGCTGGACTTAGGTACGCCACTGTTCCGTCGGGGAGAATGCAGGAGATCTAAATTGTTCTTGGCCCCAAAGCTTCGATTTCTTCGATCTTGGGGTTGCCACCTAAACACAATTTTGGCTAAAGTTCAAATTTTTTTTAATAGTTAAATATATTTTTGTACTTACAGAACGTATGCCATTATAAAAGTATTACTCATTACGGCACCTTGTCAATACCTAAATAGTTAAGTTTTAAGGAAAATAACTCTCAAATGCGTTGGTTTTTTAAATGCTGTTAAGGAAACTTTTGGTTTCTCAACTTTTTGTGGCGTTCGTGGTATTTTTGAAATCATTCTCATTTCTTGTTATTGTTTACAAAAAGCAGTCAACGGATGTTGTTGCTGTTGCTTGCAATTTCGGCTATCTCACAGGAATATCCGCAGTGCCAACCGAGTATGGATGTGTTAGTAATTACGATTACGCTCACGACGAAGGAGTTTCGTGTCGCTTGCACAATTTCGCAATTACTTAGTTGTGGCAAGTTTCAGTTTGTGGCAATCACCGAACGAGAGCAGTTCGAAGCAGCGGTTAAAGCAATCAATGTAACTGGATATCCCAACAAGGCATTGGGGCAACAGCACTTGCTGCAAGCAAGCAGAAGTGCAGGCCGAGAGCGCAAAGTAGGAGCACAAGGCAAAGTAGCCAGTGAAGTGAACTGCTTAAAAAATAAGCAAAATAAAGTAGAACTCAGCTTGAAAAAAAAGAAAAAAAAAAACAAAACAAATCTACCGTGAGGAAGGACAACAAAAGTGTTGTGCATGCAGTGCTAACACAAACAATAACAAAAACTAAATAAATAAGCAAAATAAAAACACCGAAATTTTCATTCCAGATACAGACAAAATTTTTGCTTTCGCAAGGAATATTGCGAAAATGAAAATTCATTCATATACGAAAAAGTAGTAAAAACATATCTAGTTCAGTGAAAATCTATACATAAAAGTGTTGAAGCCGTTGATTTCGAGTATTCTTCCAGCCCAACACATTTGGAATGTTGAATATAAGTTTGTTTTTGTTCGCTTGCGAGATGCGATAAGACCAAAAAATTTACACACAACAAATTACAATCATCAAATAGTCAAATCATTGTCGCAGCAGTTGCTGTGACGGCAGCGACGGCAAATCCAGCCACACAATAAGCAGCAGAAAAGGCTACTACAACCCAAACGCAAGCAACAACGACGGCAGCGACGATAACAACCGACGCTTGAAAATGTCAACACTTCCGTTTTTGTTGAGCGTCGCCGATGAGCTCGATAACCTCAACTCCCAATCGTACATGGACGACTTCGGGCTGGGCTTCCATCCGCACCGCCAGTACTACCGTACGCCCACCATCCAATTGTCCTTGCCCGCCAGCACCGATTGGATGGAGCATGACCGCTCGCAGCGCTATCGCTCGCACAAATTCGTCTTCGAAACACAAAACAATCTAACGGCCACCGCGGAGGGCGATGAGGCGGAAGGCACCGATGAGGCTGGCAATGGCGGCCGTGGCGGCGCGCTGGACGGCAGCGGTACGGACAATGCGTATGTAGATCGCTACGGCAGCGGGGCAAGCACGTCCGCCGCCAGTCGCCAAAAATACACTTCCCTACTCAACTCGAACAACGACGGCGAAGGCAAGGGAGTGCTCGGCGGCAGCGGCAGTGGCAGCGGCAGCAGCAGCACCAAGGGTGGCAAGCGCGATGACGCCGATGCCATCGATAACACAGTGCAGATGTATAACTTGTCGAAAAAATGTTGCAAGAATTACTATCGACGCGGCGACGAACCGCAGTCGGGCGTACTGACGGCCAAGGAGAAATCCGCAGAAGGCGGCTATCGTTTGCATGCCAAGTGCATGGAGGGCGCCAACTCGTCGTCGGATGAGAGCTTACAGAAGCCCACATCCTCCATTGAATTTTTGACGTGCTTCCTGTTGAAGAAGTCGCGTGCGCCCAAAGGAGCGGGCATCAGCGGTGGCAAGAAATCGTCGTAGGACACGGTTTCGAAGCGTAGAAGCAATTGTTTCTGAATATGTTGGAGAGGGGCGGGTGGCGATGGCGAAGGCGAAGGCGAAGTCAATGGTGACGGTGATGGCGACGGTAACGACGTGGGGGGAAATCGTGGCGTGCCAGGCCGGAGTAATGGTAATGGGGATTGGAGAGCTTGTTGCGGTGAAATTGATTATCAGAAGTGATGGTGGCGAAGGCGAAGGCGAAGGCGAAGGCGAGTGCCGATTGAAGACTGACGATGGACGATTTACGCAGTCACGCGGCTGTAATGTTGCTACAATGCAACTCAACTGAGCAACTGTGCAATCGAGTGAGTGGCGAAGGTTGTAACGTTACACCTTGGCTCTTCGTGCACAGACAAACTGACGCGCTTTCACACTTTATTTGGCAATGAGTTTGCGAAGCTGTCAAGGGTAAAATACAAGGTCTTCGAGGTGCAGACGGGCGTTGAGGGATTACGGCAAAGGTTGGTTGGAGAAATCAAATGCGCCGCAAAAAGTGCAATGAAAAGGGATTCTCATACAAAGCGAAAGTGAGAAGAAAATGCAGCAGTTTTGATGCATTCGCATATAAAATTTAGTACTTACGCATAACATTTACATATAATCGCATATAGCAATTTGAAATTAGTTGTAAATTGAAAAAAATGTAGACTTATTAGGGCCGTTTTCACCATCTCTGGTTAACACTAAGCTCCAGTTAAACCTCTTTACCGACGTTCTCGACACAATCTTATATGTATGGAGTCAATAACGTCGGTAACGATGTTTAACTGGAGATTAGTCATGCAACGCTAAGTATGCATAACTGGACTATTAACCAGAGATGGTGTAAACGGCCCTAAGTGTAGTAGTGCGTGGTTAAGTGAACGATTAAGGAAAATATTCAAGCGGTGCCTAATTGTTAGTTTCGTAGCTAAAAAATACCTAAGGCCATAAGCAACTGAACAGCTAAAGGCCGAGTTGGGTTTTTTTTGAAACTTAGTAAGCTTTAGCAAATAAATGTTTATAGAATGTTTGTAATGTATGTACGTGTAGCGGTAATTTTTAAAAATTTGCCCAGTTATTTATAAGCAATATTCGCATATACATATATATTGTTGGAGAGGCGGTGTTTTGGTGATGAAAAACATTGTATAGTGTTTCTTATTAAAATTTTAAAAGTTCGACATCTAACTATGCGAAATTTTTTAATTTTTTTTTTGCAGCAAAAATTCATGTAATTTGTCTAAATTCGACTTTTTGGAAAAATAAAGGCCTTGAAAGACCGGTGCAAAATTGCAAAATGATTTTTTGCTCGCTGTACCCCCAACTTTGTCTACTAGGATCGAAACAAAGTTAAATGTTGTATAGTTCGGTAACTACTTTTACATTCCCAAACGTCAAGGCTTCAAATTGCAGTACGGACTAATCTCTTAATAAATTTTATAGTCTTAGGTCTATACGTCATTAGTGAGCGCTGGTTCGTCATTAACTTCTCGAAGCGCTGGCCAAGTAAATGCAAATGGAAAACAGCATTAAATGATAATATCCAGAAATTATCAACAGGAAATGTATTGCTTTTCGTCACTTCAAGCAAAAACAAAAAAAAAAAACAATAAATAAGGGCTTGACTGAGAAGTTTTCGTCCATCTACCGTATAGCCTCGATATTTATACAAAATTCTCTTAGGGCCGTTTAACTGTCCGTTAAACACATCAACTGCTCTATCGATCACATTACAGGCAGGCGATAAGGGCCTTCTTCTCGATGACTCTATTTGCCCATCGCTTATTGTGCCCCATTATTTCTGTCATTTTGCGAAGGAGGCGTAATCTTGCAAACCATCGTACGCTTGACCTAACAGAGCAGCCCGCTCCGGTAAATAAAATACGGTCACAATAAGTGATTCCGAAACTGTGGGACATTCGGCTTATATCGCAATAGCACTTCGTCTGTAGACTGATTTGTTGCCCCGACTATACGAACCCAAGTGCAATGCATCTGTCCACACCTCGGAAACATAAAATATTACGTAGCTCAGAGTGCTCGGCAATCTTTACCTATGTTTTTTTTTGGTTCTCTGGTATCTAACATAATTCTCGAAGATGTCTTGAATGTGTTTGGGATGGGATCACAAAATGTTTAACAAATTAAAAAAATCTGTATTTAAATAGAAGCGTCGGGGGTACTGCGCATTGTACTTACAGTACTCACAGCACCGCTTTTCCAGAGTTCTCCAGATATTGTTTTCTCTGATATCGGTTTGACCAAATGTGAAGCTTCAATTTTCACAGGAAAACAAATTGCTTCGATGCCAGGCCTACAGATAATTGCAAAGCTTTGATTCAGTTCAATAAAATTGCATTCTAAGACCTTTTCCGCAGAGACAAGCTCTAATACAAAGCCGTCTAAAAGCAGATAGATCATTTGGATTCGATAGAAACACCAATTGGTGAAGCTTCCATCGCTTGGGGAAAACGCTTTTCTTTATAAAGTCGTCTTCACACCTTACGATGACGGGAACCGTTTTCGAACGATTTTAAAGCTGGCTTCAAATTGTGAGGCTTACATATATACCCAATCGGAAAAATGAGGAACGCTGGCAGACCTTCCTTTTGCAAGGTGTATTAGAAGATCTGCCAATAGCGCTGCCATTCGAATTCGGGCGAGAAGTTGTATTTGATAAGCAAACAAAGTCAAATAAAAGCGAAAATTGCAGTAAACGTTTCTATGAGGGTCTGTTGCAAAATATAAACTGTGTCATATTTATTCCAAGTGAACGTGTTTTTTTTTTTGGGGGAAGCTGAATCAGATGCTCTGGCTATTTGATACAAAAATAAATGGGATCAAGAAACGCGAATAGAAGACCTCTCGCTTCAAAATATTGGAAATAACTCTGCCAAGAAGGCTTAATTTGTCTAATTTTGCCTACTGGGTAGTTATGTTAGATATGCTTACATAAATATACTAGTTAACCCCTTGAGTTTATAGAAGAGAGCGTGGCGTTTATAGTAAACTGAAAAATAGCGATAGATGTAGTAAATTCAGAGAAACATAGTCTTGGACCCATTACGAACAGACAGCTAAACGCACTGTCCTGTTGTAAGCTAAAAAGGGATACGAGTTTGCAAGAAATCGTAGCACTTCGTTAATTTAAAAATTAAAGCGCATTTCCACTGAAAATCTTTATTACTGTTTTATTTTTTTATTTCTTTGCCCCGAAGGACGTCGTAAGCTTTGCGTCATAAAATATAGCACTTTTGCAAAAAAATGGTGTACTTTTTAGATGACTTAATGAAGCCCCACCATTTAAGGATGCATACAAAGAAGGTCAAAATTGTTTTAGCACCAGGTCATCGTTATATTAAGAGTAAGTGTGGCGAATTAGAAAGAAGACGGTAGAAATATCAATGACCCCATTTAAACGGAAAAACTCTTTCATTCTGTGTCTCGGCAAACCTTGCCGTACTTGCAGATATCTCACAGAAAATAAGAGTCCATAGCATCGAAGGAGAAGGGCTGTCCTGCGGCAGCGCTTTTATTCTTGGCCTAAAAGTAAGGAAGGTCCTGCTTTTCAGTCCATTCAATCTAAACGAATAATTTTTACATTACACACCGTTTTTGCGCTTCAACACTATTTGTGTATTGGTCAATGCAAAAGTTCTATCAGGCGTCGCGAAGCAAGCCAGGCATTTGCTAGTTTAATAATAAAACTGAAATGAAAACATCATTTATGAGCAAAATTTCATAACGGTCAAACCAAAAATTATAGAAGTTTAAATTTTATGCCGGCCCATATTTAAAGATTAAGCAATAATAATATGCCGTCAAAAAGTTATCGCTCCCCTCAACTTAATTCGGTCTTTAAAGGGTTAAACGCAAAAATTATTTCGTGCCCACAAATCGTATCCTGGGGTCCTTTAGTCGTCGGGATTGTATCTAGGACTCCGATCTGGTGTTCGGCGAAGATCATTGAAGTGAAGTACATATATTGTTGCATGTTTTTTTTTTTTAATTGATTGAATAAAATTAAGGGAAACACGCTATTTTTCCAGCACCAATACACCTCTTCAAATAACACAACTAATTATGATACAAGAAATTTGTAACCATTTCCCAGATGCATGCAAATTTTGCATGCCAGTTTTTTTTTTATAAATAATAATTGCAAAAAGAAAACAAAAAAAAAAATAAATTTTGTACCTTCTTTTATACCAAGAACCAGATATACATGCATACATACATATGTGTTTTTATACCAGTAATTAAAGGAATTTAGAGCAAATTATTGCATACATTAAAGCCTCAAAAATATATGCAAAGTGCAACAGCATTAAGA